GGCATCAGACAGCTAAATGTGGGATTTGCCAGTTGTTTGCAGGCACTTTTCTGAAAACCACTCACATTTGGTCCTGCAGGAGCCAATATCACTCATGGCAGGCAGCTTCCTATAATCCCTACAGTGGCAGATTTCATACTGGCCTTCCTGATCTGCATTTCCTCAAGCTTTCTAATGGTCATGGAAGACCAATGTAATGGTTAATTTGAATTGTCAAATTGATTGGATTAAGAGATGCCAATGATTATGAGGCTTCTGGGTGTGTCAAGGAATGACTGTCATGTGGGATAGCCAACTGAAATGAAGACCCCCCCCCACCTAAGCAGCACTGCCCAAAAAAGATAATGGCATGGATGGAATAAAAGTTGGAAGAACAAGGAAGCAGCAGGCAGATGAAAGTTCTATTCTTCTGAAAAGGTTCTTGATTGCTGCTGCAATCATCTGAGAATATTAGACTCTTACTTCTTCACTCTTCGAAAGCAGACCCTGCCAGTGATTCTCTAGGGTGTTTCCAGAAGCCTTTGGTCTCAGACTAGGATAGAACCATTGATCTTTCTCATTCTAAGGCTTCAGCCTCTTGGATTGTGCAATTACTGGTTCTTCCAGCTCTCCAATCTGCAGCCGACCATTATGGACTATCCAGCCAACCTAATAAATCCCCTTTTTATAATTATACTTCCTGTTGATTCTGTTCCTCTACAGAACTCTAATAATCCCTAGAAAATTCTTGCCTATTGAAAATTCCCTCAGAGAATTCTGATTTCTTGATCAAACTCTTAACAGGTTGTTACTGAAAAAAAAAATAATAATAAAATGTTGTTCATTAATAAATAGCAAGGTCAGCCAAGTGTTTTATTATGCAAATACTATTGCAAATTCTTTGTGCGTAGACACTGAGAAATATGTTGTTTGCTTAACCAGAGTCCATTGTTTTGCCTGCATTTCTCAGATACCCAATGTATCCACTGCACCCAGTATACTGACAGCACAAGGTAAAAGAATGGAAAAGCAGGATTTGGCTGTTAAATTCTGTGAAATGATTTCCACTTAAATAATGATTTAAGCTTTAAGGCACTCTATTTGAGCATAAGCCAAGTCAAGATTAGGATCTTTTTTTAAAAAATATTTTTTAGTTGTAGTGGGCACAATCAATATCTTTACTTTATCCATTCATTTATATGTAGTGCCGAGGATTGAACCCACAGCTCCATACATGCTAGGCGAGCACTCCACCGCTGAGCCACAACCCCAGCCCCAAGATTAGGGTCTTTAATTTTAAAAATAACAAAATTAAAAATCAGCTCTGTTTTCTAATAGGATGACTGTCAACATTTTCAGAACTGCTCTTACTTAGTTTCAGCATACTCAGTTCAAAGGAGTTGAGAACCATTTACTAAGGAATATCACACTGATGGGAAGGTCAAGTTTTAGATAACCATGCCTAGAGTCCACTAGCTTTTCTCCATCCTTGGAGACTTGTCATTTTCCTTCATTCTTGTGTCCTATTCCATGAAGAACCATGAATGTGCAAAYCAATTCATTATTGTTCCTGCTGAGAAAAGTTCCTAATATTTCATTTAAGTTCCTAATGTTGTRTCATTAAAATCAATTCTGTATTCAGAGACTATTTTCCCACTTCAATTAAAGTAACCCCCAATAACCACCAAAAAAACAAAGACTACATATGTAAAGAAATTGCCAATTTAATTTGTTGGATTTGTTCAAAGAAATGCTTTAAATTTTTATAACATATGGGTCCAAGTTAACAACTAAGAACAAAGATGGAAATCCTACAAAGATGTCCCACAGTTTCTAGGTTTCTACATAGCAGCAGTGAAAGTAAATTAATTTTTAAAAAATCATTTTATTCAAAGAATTAAAAAAATTAAGAAAGCAGGAGAGATAAAATTCAAAGCAAATAACCTTGGTACTTCAAAACAATTCTACAAACAAAATGTGATTTTTTTTAAAAGCCCCCTAAATCAAAACTTCTAGACACAGTCAAGTCTAACAGAAAGAAACTCAAATATAATACAATTTTATTTCTCTTGCCTAGAAAGTAAGTCTTTATTGTCTCAGATATTTTCCATCTACTGGAGGCATTATGTGAAGACAGTGGATCAAGTTTTCTAATGGGTTCATGTCACATGGACCTCGCCATAATAAAACATCAATGACTGAGGCCACACTGAAATAAGGACAACAAAGTTACCTGAAAGGGAGCTATTGCCAGAAACAAACTGCTGTGATTCTGATACATCTAGTTCTCTGCAGCCTGGGTGTTTATCTAGAATTAATGAATAGCAACCTTTAGGTCTCACGAATGAAAAAAAATGTGTAATTTAAGAACAAAGGGGTTGTTGGTTAGTTACAGTTTGTCTTTTAGGTATAACAGATCTGAAATTCTCCATGAATATCATACTATGTGCTTTGGAATTCTGGCAATTTTCCTCACATGATCTTGCTATACTTATCTCCATCTCAAAACATACAAAGCTGAGTGACAGAGAGGTAAAAATCCTAAAAATCCCAAGTGTGCACAGCAGCCGTTAAATTTTTTACATGTTTATGGTTTTTTAATAGTTGGGTGCTTCTAAATCACTTGGTATACTGCATTAATTAAAAACACCACTTGTTTCCATTCAAATTATGTAAAGAGTCTTTTTAATTTTATACAGAGAAGCAGAATGATAGGTGAAAAGGAAAAAAACTCTATCCAGAGGGCACTTCTCTAATTGTTTAAAAAGCTCCATTTTTTTAGTTCCATATTTTCAATTACACACCCAAAGTTTATATTCAAGATATCCTGAAATATATAAAGGAAAATATGGATAAAGTAGCAGCAGTCTCTACAAGAAAATACATAAGTGGATTCTGGAATTCAAGTTAATGAAGCATGTTAATGTAAGTTCACAAAGTATGTTTCAATCTTGGAAATAATTTCCTGTATACATGCTCACCAAAGAGAATGATGAATTCATTTCATCACATATATAGCACCTGGGAAGGGGTCAGCTTTTAAATGACTCATATTCTGATAACTTTTCTGTACATTAGCACAAGGATGCTCATAAGGTTAAATAAAGCTCCTATATTATCTTAAAAAATGAAAGAAGCATGTTTACCTTCAGATGATTGAGAGAAGCTTAGCCTTTACTTCTTTCCTTCATCCAAAAAAATTAAAGAAGTATTTTTTTTCCAAATGCCATTTAATGAAAAGTGCCCTCTTAACTTTTAGGGATATTACTTCTTGGCCTCCAGTAAGGTCTCAGTAAATACTGATAATCAACTGCAAAGAACTGAAAGAAAACTGTTCACTTAGAAGTAAGGTTGAATTTTACTTCAAAAGGATAAATCTTAGAAAACATGATTCATGCTGATGAGGCAGTCTTAGTTTCTACAGAGTCAGAGCACAGGAGTGAGAGGGAGAGTCCACAGACTCAACTGAGTGGGTAGACCCAATAGCACATCTGTCCATTCCAACCACCCTGGTCTCCTGCAAAACCGAGCAAGTGCTGTGAGCACTGGGGAAAGCATCTAGCTTGCTGTATATAAAATAATTCTGTAAAGGGAATCTTTGTTCTACAATTTACAGATTCCCAGATACTACTTAGATTGTCTTGTCACTCATTTACCATATATATATATATATATCCTTCTTTTGCAACTATGAATTCACTTGAAATTTCTGATTACTGCAAATCCTGAAAATTTGCAACAACAACATACTGCAAAAAATATAAAGTGACTTGAGAAAGTATATTATTTATGGAGTATGATATCAGAAAGAGTATCCAGCATTTGTTTTATCTAATGATCCTTTTTAAAACAACTGGGAAGCCAGAATACAGAAATGTGGCTTTTGATAATATTTATGCAATCATTTCTTATTTTTAAAAGTTAAAGTAATTAGTAAATGTTCAGTGTCACTAATGTTTACTAAGAACTAAAGTAAAACAATGTCTATATTTCTTAGTACAATACAATTTTTAAAACAACTACATACATGTATATGCTTTAAATATTGGCAGATTGCTTCAAAATGAAATTCTCAGCAAGTTTTTGGTAATCTATTCACAGTTCTGGCTTAGAGTCACTGAAATTACAAGTCATGAGGATGAAATGACCAATTGGCTCAGAAAACTGAACATTCATTTCAAACAATACAAAACTGAAACAAGCAACAACCCTAACCCCTCCCCTCACAAGAAGTATAATTTAAACAAATTCCAAAAGTTTTATTTAGGCAAAAACACATTCAACCACAGAACATTCAAAAAGCTAACAGGATCATTTCTATAATCATTCTGAAAACTAGTATAGAAAGCAGGGTAATTTGAGAATTTCAAAGATGTTCTCATTAACCATTAGTTATCGTATCGTAACATTTCCACATGAAGCTATTACATACTTACAAGTTAATATGGCATAACTTAACAATCTTGCTAACTATAATTTTAACCCTGGATATTATTGGTTTAAAGCTAATATGATTAGTCCTATTAGTTGTCATTGTCTTAGATTTGAAGATAATGTTTAAATTCATCAAGCTAGGGAGATAACTGAAATGTTTATTAACAATCTTTAAATATAGTGGGTAAAAACAGATTTATGTTAAAACTTTTAAACTTGAGACTATTAACAGTAAAAACTGAAATGTGTTTCTGTGGGTAAAACACTGCCTGTCATTCTTGTACACAAAATTTACTAAATATGTAGATCTCACAAATGAAATATCTTTACCATTATCTTCAATTTCTTTGGCCTTTACAAATTCAATGTGAACTATGAATTCTTTTTCAATAAATACTTTTCAATGATTTTGTGCTTTTTTCAGAAAAATCACTTAATTTGTAGCATATAATAACTAGGTAACACCAGTCTTTCTCTTTTATTGCTATAGAATATCCTACATACATATATTTGTATATATATGTGTATATATATATATATATATATATGTGTGTGTGTGTGTATGTATATGTATATACATACACACACATATATATATTTTTAAAAAAGATAAGAGAAAGAGCTGACCCAAAGGACTTAAAATACGTTTGTTAAAACAAACACTTTAGCTGGTTTTCCTTCTTTGAAGAGTAATGAAATAAATGTCAGAGAAATATTACCAATGACCCCCAAATAGGCTCCTTTTCTCCATCCTCAGAACTAACTCAGGACAAGAGACCCGGATTTAAAAGGAGTCAGTATCACCTCAGAAACAACCTAAGAAAGCTTTCAAAGGAGAAACAGCCCATCTGCACTCTACCCTGTGTAAGTTACCTCTGAGGAGCAGGAACACTTGATTGTTTTTCATCTGCATGTTAATGACTCTGTATTGTTTATAGCCTGTGATTACAGCTCACTCTGCACATGCATTTCACTTCTTATGAACATTATATATGATATGCCCCCAAACTTAGACCATCATTTAAGTAAACAAATCCATTCAACTCACAGCACCCATGCCTTTCAATGAACCTAGCTACTCTTCTCCAGTGACAAGTCTACCTGGGGACAGACATTTTTTGAGAAGGAAGATGTAATTTTAAATGACCTGCACAGCTTATAATAGGTAGTCATAAAAAAAAGACTGTTGACATAGTTATAACAAACTAAAAAGAGCTGACAACTTTTTTTTTCCTCTTATCTTTATCCTATGGCATATGTGATTTTTAAAGTGGAAAAGTTGATTCCAAAGTAATAATTATTTATTGGGCCATGTGTTTGTTAGATGTCCCCTGACTAAAAAGGGCCCACTGGGTAAGGGCATATGAATGAATTTAAACTTTAAATGTACTATAAGAAAAAAACTTTTTATATAAAGAGCTCCTTTTGTAGAATATCTTTTTCTGAAAAACACATTTTTTAAATAGTCTATATTATATTGGCTTTAACTGGGTATGCTCACTTATTTAGCCTTGCCTCACTGCAAGACCTTTTATGTGTTAAAAATTAATTTATAAAAACATTTAAAAATCACAACATTAAATGGGGTAGAGAGCAAGAAGAGAGAAAAGGGAAACAAAATCATGTTTGGAAAATACCACTTCATACTTCAACTTGGTTTTTGATACTCAGTTTAGAACTTACCCTAGCTTGGAGTATTTGTGTATGGAGTGTGATTTGGGGTACAAATCACAGCCAGACAGAAGTAAGTTCTGGAATTCTATTACACAGAAAGTGATGACAGCCAACAGTACCAAACGGTATAATTCAAAATAGATACAAAAGACCACTCTGATTGTTCTTATCACAAAAAAATGATAAATGTTTGAGATGATGGATAATCTAAGTATCCTGAGTTAATCATTTTACAATATACCAAAACATCACACTGTACCCCATAACAATACACAATAATTATGTGTATGTCATGTATATCAATAAAATAATTTAAGCAAAGAAATGCTGCAAACCCATACACGTGTCAAATGTTGTCGTATCAAATATAAGAAATGATATAATACATATAAAAACTAGTATGCTTACAGAAAATAATCTTATAAACAAAGTAGGTAAATACAGCTATAGCAGCTGTATGTGTTTGTGTGTGTGTGTGTGTGTGTGTATGATGTAAATAGTGACCTTATTTTATTTTTAAAAACAATGAGATCCCTAGACTCCATCAATGATTCCTTCCAAATTACCTTAAAATATGCCACTTCTTTCTCTATCCATCATGCACAAGCAGTGTTTTATACTTCCCTTGTAGCAATAATAGCTATCCAAAATCCTAACCTCATCAAGAAGTTCAAACACAAAAAAGGAAATAAAAGACTGAACTTACTAGAAATTATGCTAAATATTTCACCTTCACAATTTAAAAGTGAGTACTTTTGAAAGAACTTAACCAAAACATAAGCACACTCTCCTATAGCTCTCAAGATCTAAACCAAAAAACTCTGTGAAAAAAATTTTAACTCACATTTTTGGGGTATCTAACTAATATTCTACTTTAAATATTTTAACCCAAAGTGTCAACTTCCACTTGTAACTGCAACCAGCTGAAGACATTTTACCACCACTTTATTTACATCATCTTCATTCCTAAATAAATTTCAGGGTAGAACACAGAAAATACAGAGGAAAAAATCTAGGAATACTAAATATGATGTCCTTTATTTACTAATATCAGTGTAAAACATAAATTTTTCTTAGCCTAGCCTACCATACCTATTTAAGAGCCAAAGACTTGCAAATCTTCTAAAAGATTTCAGAGAATTTCCAAACTGACACTAAAGGTATATTAGTTTTATGCAACAAGGCAGTAAAGAAAGTCAAAATTAACTGTAGGAAATTCTTTCATGGGACAAAGTTGAAAAGAATATTGAATATATTGACAATCTGAAACATTTGATAGCAGCTCTGTTGTGATTTCAAGAACAAGATACAAATATGTCATTCAACAGTTACTTTAAAAATAAAGATTATAAACACAAGGAAATAAAAATTTCTTTTAGATGAAAAAACAAGGAGTGGGTTACCCAACATCCCATCTTCAAATTTAAAATCACGCTGTCAATTGTCCAACTGTCTAAAGCAATTCAAATTTAAAGTTTGTGCTATAAAATTGTGCACATGTGTTCTCTATAAGTGCATTGGAGAACATCAATGCACTACTATAATATTCTGTTGCCTAAATCACCTCCACCTACAGATAACGGATAAGTATGAGAACTAAGGTTAACTGACCTTAGATATAAATCCCACCAAGAAAAGTTTTAAGCCTTTACGTATTATAGTTTGATTTAAAAACAAAATAGAAACAAGTTCTGAAATAAATCACAGCATCTTCTGTTTATATATAACTTAGCAAAACCTTCAATAAACATCCAAGTGTTCACATATATTACCACTGGATTTAGAAAGCCCAAATAAATGCACAACTCTATGATTGGTCTGAATGAATAAATGCACAGTAAAACAAATGCCAATTATTTTTTAAACATACAATCCTCTTAGATTGAAGTGAAGGACCCATAAATTCAACACCCAGAAAAAGACAGCTAAAATCTTGCTAATACAGATTCCAATTAGATTTCATTATTCAAACTCCCCCACATTTTACTGGAAAAATATAAGAAGCAATTTCACAAAAATCACAAATTGAATGGAATAATTATAACTGATATATAAATAAGAATTTACTAAAAAAGGCTTCCAGGGGGGTGATATCTTAAATCAAAGCTTTCAATACAAAAGGTGTCATGTGTTGTTTAATCTTCCCAAGTTTCAGATGCTTTTTACTCGACGGTTACAGATTTTGCAAGATTCCGTGGAAAATCAACCTATTAAAAGAAAAAGAAAAAAATAAAAAAGAGCAAGAGTTGAGAGATTATACAGATTGAGAAAAAGGGGTTTGCTATAAGAAAACTATTTTTGTTTAGAGCTGGGTGTGGTGGCACATGCCTGTAGTCCCAACTACTCAAGAGGCTGAGGTGGGAGGATGGATTAAGTCCAGGAGTTCAAGGCCACCCTGAGCAATGTAGTATATATATATATATATATATATATATATATATTTAAATATAATATAATATTTAAAACATTATATCAGAAAATATAATCATGTAATATGTCTTGAAAAAAAAAGTGAACTAGTTAGGAAAAGAATTTAAAAGTGCCAGCACACACAGAAAGAGTTAATTACTCTGGTCCTCTATAGAGGTGGTAACACACTCATAGGGACACTAGAAATACAAAAGCAGAATGTTTAGGTTACCACAATAATTGAGAGAGCAGGAATACTGGAATTCAKACAATGTGTGAGAGAGTTCCAAACAACCAAAAATTCCCCTCTTCAAAATCCCACATGCTACTCTATGAAGAAAAACATACTAAGAAAACAGGTGGAGATTTCCCAAGTCCTAGTCCTACAGGTCCTCCAAAGTAATTTCAAGTTTTATGAGTAAGAAGATATTATAACTTACAAATTGGGTCATGAAAAGATAATAGGTGACAAATACATATCTGATGGATTTTTCAAATGTTATTGTTAAAAATTTAGGAGAGAAATTATCAGAATGTACCTAAGTTTAAAAAAAAAAAAAAAAACCCTAATATTTCTGCAGAGGTGGGCCACTTACATCATAGCCTCTCAGCACTGCCAGGTGGAAAGCTAGCAACTGCAAAGGGATCACGCTGAGAATGCCCTGTAAGCAGTCCACTGAGTGTGGCACCTTGATTGTTCTTTTTGTGTTCTTAATGGTCTCAGTATCCTCCTTATCGCAAATCACCACAGGGCGCCCCTAGGGAATAAAATTACACACACACACACACACACATATACACATACACAATCACTAGAAAAAAAATGCAGGACTATTGGCACAAGAATATGCAAATTTTACACTGCATAGTCTACACAAAGTCTCACTGACAGATTTATTTAAACACAAAGTCATACAGATTAAATCTGGTTGATCTCACTTAGGCAGTTGAAGAAACAGAAGTTTTGCAGAATTTAGTACTTTTTTTTTTTTTAAGCTTACACAAGTAAAAAAATTCCAGGTTTAGTATTTGTTTGTTTGTTTGTTTGGGGGTTTATTCCAGGCTTAGTGTTTGAATCCAGATATGCCTGCCTTCCAAGTTTATTACCACTACATTGTGCTTATGGAGTAATATCTTATGGGATTTATATGTAAAGCCAAATGATCTGAAAAAATTATGCACAGCATTCATAACATTAACATTGAACAGTTAAGGTTCCTTCTGAGATAAATATTTAAGAATATTAAATTAAAAGAAAGAAGCATATGTTAAAACTGAAAGACGAAAAAATTTGGAGACCAAGGCCTCAGTTTTAGTCTTGTTGAAGCTTATTATTATAACAGAGAATTAGAATGTGCTTTTGCAGCAACTGATGCCCAATGAGTAACTAAGATCAGGAGAAAAACTGACATGTCTGCCTTATTTTGTAATATATTTGTCTTCTTTATTACCTCAAACTCTGGGTCAGATTTCTGCACAACTCTGCATATGTTAATCATTTAAGCAATGTTTATCTAAAGCTGGTAATCCACCCCCTTTAAGGCTGAAGACACTAAGATAAGAATAACTAAGCTATTTCAAAATTTATAGGGCCATTCAACTGAAGCAGTGCTGTGAAGTCTTCAGTCATTGCCCTACATATTTCATGAACATCAGAGYTTTGCAGACAGACCACCCCATGATGAGACTGCTGTCCTAAGCAGGAATAATCACCTCATAAGAATCAAAATGCCCTCAATAAAAGAAAGATCTGAGAGACAGCCCTTCAAAGCAAATAGAGATTGCCCTCTCAAGCCCTAAGATGATAAGGAATTTTCTGGGGCCACATCCCAGAACCAGAACCAGAGATAAGGAATTGTGCATACTTTATACCTCCTATCCCAATTCCTCCTCTATTTAATCCTGAAGCTCAAGTCAGTACCCCTGAAGGCTGAGATGCTTGATCTCACTTGCCTTCCCCATATGGCTTTATTAGAGTGCATACAAATAATGTCCTTGATAAAAGTTCCCTTCCAGCTTTTCAWCAATATGTTTTCCATTTGATTTTTGGAATGAATGAATGGCCAGACCTGATCTGTTGGGCCCCCCAGAATCAGGCCTCTGGCCTTGGTCTCCATTAACATTTTATCTATGAGGTTGATCCCATCAGAAGTCTAAGTATCTCTTTCCTTACACATAAATCTCAAAGGTTGTACTCCAAAGCTAACCAGTGTAAATGTGTTTTTTAATTTACCTATCTGGCACTTATTTATTACTTTAAATATGATAAAATTCAAACAAACTTTAGTAACTGACTCTTACAGTCCCAAGGTATCCTCACAGCCACCTCTGACTTACCTGACGAGCAACTACCTGCTGAAGGGCATTCTGACACTTTGCGTAAGTGTGATCTCTCATGATGATCATGATGACAGGCATCAACTTATCCACCAAGGCCAGAGGGCCATGTTTCAATTCACCAGCAAGGATGCCTTCAGAGTGCATATAAGTAATTTCTTTGATTTTCTAATAAGAAAGAACCAAATAAGCCTTCAGTCCATTTTTTAAAATTCTATCTTTTAAGTAAATATTATACAAAGCATCTTATAATGTTAAGTCACTGCCTATTTATCCAACAGTATTAAGGCACCACAGATATATGGAAATATAGCTTACAATTTAACAGATYATTATTTCTATATTATCAACAAGTATTTAGAATTTTTTAAATGCACAGGTCTTCTTTAAGGTTTCAGATTATTATGAATATACATATTTCTCTGTAATTGYTCTCCCCTTGCTGCATGTTTGATCACAATTTAATTTCATACCTAGAGAACTTAATATTTTATTCCTTTTTGAACAATTTATACACTCAAGTTACTAAAATCTAAGTTAACAAGCTAAGACATCTTCTTATTTTTTATAGGGGTCCTTTAAAAAGTTCCACATATTTCATTCATTCATTCTAAAAGTATGACAAGGGTAGGGGATAATTCAGTGATAGAGCACTCACTTAGCATGCATAAGACACTGCAAAAAGTAGTAAGTATGACTACATRCCAGGTCCATAAGTCAGAAGACTAAAATTAACTGTAAATGAGGAAACATACCAATGCCCCTTCAAGACAAGTAGCATAATGATAGCCTCGTCCCATTATCAGGACTGACTTCTGATGATAAAGTTCTGTTGCCAATTTCTGAATTTCATCATCCATGCTCAGTACTTCCTTAATTAAATCTGTTAAGAAGTAAATTTACTATTAGCAAAATCTATGAGAAATGGATCATTAACTGAACAAACAGATATAACAACAATAATATATTGGTAGCAACCAACAAAAGACCAATATTTCTATTCTTCTGTTATCAGCATAGGATTTTTAAATACATGGGAGCAAAAATAGAATGATCTTATATTAACTCAGTAGTTACAAACCACAGATTCACAGTAATAAAAGAATTTCATTCACTATCAACTCATTTAGAAAACAAAAGTAAAGTTTCCTCTCTTGGAGGCAGACTATTCCACACACCTTGGAGTATTACTTCCATTTCTCTAAATAAACCCTATACACGTTTTCTACTGGTTTCTCTTGACTGACCCTTTCTTTCAAGAAGACAAGAACCAGGGAACCCCATCACCAAGTAACATAACTGGTGCTGTGACATGGATTGCTATAAGAACTGACCTGCAGATACCCCTGAGGGACTATGCCTAGGGACTATGCCTGTAGCTCTGCTGCCATTATCATCTATATTAAAGATTCCACAGTGCTCACCTGCCATCAAACACCTCCTTTTAGGCTAAAGCAAGGAACCCTAAAACTCACTATCCCAACCCCTTGACTATAGGCATGTAACACCAGGCCCCACTACCACGCATAGCTTGAATCCAAAAATGTTGGCTGGCCATTTGTTTCCTTATTTGAGAATTCATTTTATTATTCTTCACCCATTTTTCAACTTGGGCTTTTGTTTGTCTTGTCTAGCAAGAACGTGGACTCTACAAAATCAAACAAGTGATCCAACACTCACAACCAGAAGGGTTTTAGAGTTCTGAGTCCCTGAGAGGTGAATAAGTAGCCAAACAGACATGAGCAAGGGAGGTGGGGAAAAGAAATTCAGCCTCTACCCCTGTGTGGCACCCAACTGGCTGTTATACTGCTCAGGGACCTCAGCTACTTGTCAATCTAGAGAAATGGATAAGGTCTATGATAACAAAAATTTCCAACAAGGTAATATTGGTGCAGGTGCACTAAACTATGGCAGAAAATTGCACTAACCACTCCAGATAAATAATTCGTGGAAGGGAGRCTCCCAAACAGGTCATAAGACATGAGGCTATTTCCTCTCTTCAAGGCACCCACTCCATGTACCTTGAAGCATTACTTCCTTTTCACTAAATAAACCCTTTACACTTTTTCTAAACAAAACAAAACAAAAAAAACTAAAATGTGAATATCCTTGTACCAGGCAGCCGTTTCAATCCAAGCATGATCTCTTTGCGTCTCTCTTGCATGGAGATTCTGTCATCACACATCATAAGGGCAAACATCACAAGAGATACAAACTGGCTGGTGTAAGCCTGAAATGTCACAAAAAAGGCAGAAATTAGTGGCAGTTGCATCTTAAAATATATATTTTTTAAAAGGATGAAAAGAAAATGCACATTCATTTTTTTATTTGGTTTTGGTACTAGGAATTTAATTCAGGGGCTTTTAACCACTGAGCCACATACCTAGCCCTTTTCTATTTTGAGACAGGTCCTTGCTAAATTCCTAAGGCTGGCCTTGAACCTGCAGTCCTCCTGTCTCAGCCTCCCAAGTTGCTGGGATTACAGGCATGCATCACCACACCCAGCTCCCAGTAGTTTTACAATGTACATTGTCCATCTTTTAAAAGCAACATCAGTGGCACTAAACTGGAAATAGTCCATTTTGGCTGCTAGACAATTGACACCACCACCCCTTTTTTTTCCCCTTGAGTCAGGGTCCTGCTGGGTTGTCCAGGCTGGTCTTGAACTCAAGGGTTCAGTAATCCTTCTCTCTCCACCTTCCATGTAGCTGCACCTACAGGCATATATAACACCAGGCCCCACTACCATGCATAGCTTGAATCCAAAAATGTTGGTTGGCCATTTGTTTCCTTATTTGAGAATTCATTTTKTTGTTCTTCACCCATTTTTCACCTGGGGCTTTTGTTTGTCTTCTTCTTCTTCTTTTTTTTTTAATTGTTCTTAAGAAGGCTTTTAATATATTTTGAGTATTTTTCTTAAGTTTGGTAGACACACAGGTTTTTTTTTTTTAACTTTTATGTAGTACTTGTCAGCTTAGCCAATGCTTCCATATTGTAACACCAGTTAAATATTATTAAATTTTCATAGTTCTGTTGCTTTAACTGTTCCTTTTTATTGATTTTTCTTTTTCTTTTTAGTATATCTGAAATTGATTTTGATGTAAGGTGGTACATTCTGTTTTTATTTTATAAGCAGCCAATTTTGCCTCCATTTTTTATTGATTTCTGACACTTTCTGTAGTCTGAGTTCCTTGCTATCCTAGATCTATGTTGCAAGACTACTGATTTTATCTCACAGTTCCAACATCTCTACAAAAGTCAATTTTCTATCCAGAATAACGTACTTTCATCAATTTGTGCTGAGAATTTTAAAATCTATAATGTACTAGTTTTCATTTATTAAACAAATATTTATGGAGCATCTTGTTTCTTAGTAAAGTTTTTTTTATTTACTTTCTACAGCTATTAAAAATAAGAGTTCCTCTCCAACACATACCTCTTCATCTACTTTTCTAAGTAGACATTTTCAATTTATAGAGAAGACTTCTTCCAATGTTTTATAAAAAGCACTTACTGAATTCTTACTCATTCTAAGTCTTCAGTTGGTATTCTTGTGCTTTATAAGTAGTCAATTATAACTGCAATGGAGAATTTTGTTTTATCCTTTTCTGTTGTTTTACTTATCTCTTTCTTATTAAACTGAACAGAACTTCCAGTACAGAGACAGCAAACAGATTTCAYATAAAACCAATGCTAACACATCAGGACTTAGTGAAACATCACACTGAGAAAGACTGTATGGCCACCCTGTTTGCTTTTTCACTACAATACTATAGATAAAATTCCAGGAAGGTTCCAAAAGAGCAGGTAAGAACCACTAACAAGAAGGTTTTAAAACTTTCTATTTTGCAGATCACTCATTCCTTTTTCTCTATTATTTGTCAACTTCTGTTTTGTTTATTCATTTATTCATATGTGGTGCTGAAAATTGAACCCAGTGCCTCACACATGCCAGGCAAGCGCTCTACCACTGAGCCACAACCCCAGCCCCAATCCCAATATCTTGACTTGTGGGATATCCAAACTGTTTCCAATCCAAACTGATGAGACAACAAGTATTCCAATTCCATTAGCCAATTACTAAAAATGTCATTCTACAAACTAATGTTTCTTTGGAATGTAAACATTTCAACATTATTTTTTTAAATATAAATATTAAACAGAGTAACTTTAATGTATACATTTTCCACTACTCTGCTGTTACAGTATAATTTCCAATTTTAAAATCATGTTTTTCTCCACTCCCTACCCTACCAGTGCTGGGAATTGAACTTAGAACATCATGCATGTTTGGCAAATACTCTATGACTGAACTGTACTCCCAGTCCCCATAATTTTTATTTTATCAATATATACAAGGAAACTAACTATAAGAAAATTAAGCAACACCACGAATTTAGAATCTACTGAGGTTTGAAAGAATTAACCAGGAAAATGTTGACTCTGAACTTTTAAACTTGGTTTTTTTTCTTATTCAGCCAAAAACAAAGTCAGATGAGTATATTTCTAAAGTCAGCACTGTGGTGAAATTTTAAACACCTGCAATAACATGCAAAAATGGCTGAACCTGCACATTTATATCCATCAATTCCTACAGAAATATCAAATTGTCTATGGTCTGACATTATGGGAAATAATATCCCTGTAATCCTAATAGTTTTTTCAGGCAAAGCTGGGAATTCATAAGCTGGATCATAGAGCTTAAGGAACAGGGTCAATGATCAACTCTTTTGATTACCCATTAACATACACATTTACCATTCAGAAATGGTCTATGACTAAATATTCCAACACTTATTTTAAATAACTCCAGCCCAGAATATCTAAGACAGTTGAAGAAAAAATTGCTTTGAAATCCAAGAAAAAAAAAGTAACACCAAATTGCCATATTGTCAATTTTTTTAAGACAATTTTTATTTTCTTTTGTTTTGGAGAGTGAGGGTACCTGGAATTAAATTCAGGGGCACTAGACCACTGAGCCACATTCCTAGCCCTATTTTGTATTTCATGTGGAAACAGGGTCTCACTGAGTTGCTTAGCACCTCRCTTTTGCTGAGGCTGGCTTTGAACTTGCAATCTTCCTGTCTCAGCTCCTGAGGCACTGGGATTACACACGTGCGCCACTGCACCCGGCCAAGAAATTTAAGTTTGCACTATAAAAAGATGATTGTTTCAGTATTGGGATCTGGATTAGTGGTAGAGCACTCGCCTAGCATGTGTGAGGCACTGGGTTYGATCCTCAGCACCACATAGTAAATAAACAAACAAATAAAAATGAAGATATTAAAAACATATATGCTTATTTTAGAAGATATAAGGATTGGGGAAAACCGGATGAAGGAAACATAGGACTTCTCTGTACTAGTGCTATAGTCTAGAGGAGTATTCCCCTCAAACGTTTGGTTCCCCAGGTGGCACTACTGGGAGGTAGTAGGACCTTTAAGAGCTGGAACCTACTGGAACGTCCTCAGGTCACTGGGCATATGCCCTCTAAGGAGACTGTGGGATCCCTCTCAGCTTTCTGGCTCAGCTGTTATTCTATCATGCACTCCTGCTGTGATGTACCATCCCTGCCAGAGGCATAAAATGGGACTGCCTAATTTGGAAATGGAAACTCCAGAAATGTGAGCCAAAAGAAATCTTTTCTCTTTATAAGTTAATCTGCCTCAGATATTTCATTATAGTAATGTGAACTTGATTAATAACAACTTTGTAACTTCCTCTAAATCTATGTTTATTTCAAAATAAAAATATTTTAAAGACTTGCAGAAAGAACTATTAATACAAGTAACAGTATCAATGAACCTCAAAAACTTCATACTAAATGAAAGAAACCAGACATAAAAGACAAGTATTATACCATCCCATTTATAAGAAATTTCTAAAAAATGACAAAATACAGCAAGAGAAAGCAGTAGCTGCTGGGTATGAGGCTGGAGGTTAAGGGTGGGAACTGGCAATCAAGGAGTACAAAGAAACTTTGGCATGTGATTAAAGTCTTAGTCTAAAACTGGGTTGTTGGGACAGTTGCATAGCCAAATAAATTTACTGACACTACACACTTAAAATTGGTGAATGTTATATCATGAAAACTGTATCTCTGTAAAACTGTAGAAAAAAAGGTTAATGGTAGAATCCAATTGATGAGTATTGATGGGTATTAATGTAAAATTATTTTAACTCTGCTACATGTTTGAATATTGTCATAATAAAAAGTTCTTGTTAAAAAAAGTGAAAATTGGGGCTGGGGATGTGGCTCAAGCGGTAGCGCGCTTGCCTGGCGTGCGTGCGGCCCGGGTTGGATCCTCAGCACCACATACAAACAAAGATGTTGTGTCCGCCAATAACTAAAAAATAAATATTAAAAATCAATCTCTCTCTCTCTCTTAAAAAAAAAAGTGAAAATTTTAAAAATAGCATTTCCYTTGGCAGCTCACAATTCCAGAAAGATCTTATAAAAGTTGAGCTGTGGTATATTCCACATACACCACATTAAAGTCCTTGTTTCATGATATGTTGTGAATAAAGAAGCCCTGGGATTCTAATCGCCACCCTCATCAAAGCATCTGTCTGGACATTGCTCTAAAAATCCATTAACTGTTGCTGAGGGCAGCTGGTTATTTATTCAGCCACAGGATGAAAAYCAAGCACAAACAACTTACATTTTAATTACCATACGGAGAAAATTCAAGTTTCAGCTATCCATAAATTATAGTGTTAGTAATATCGAAATACCCAAGAAATTAAAACCTCAAAAGTTTTTACATAAGAATTACAAATTTTGCACAAAAAAATTTTTCCATGAGATTCTTTTTGAGGAAAAAAATGTTAAGTGTGGTTATTGATCCATTACCATCATCTTCCATAACCCTTTAATTAAACTCAAAATCATCAGCACTAAAGTGTTTTATTAGATAATCAGCAAAAAATATTAGATTTAAACAGAAAAACAGATAATGAGAAATTGAATATTTGGAAATCATAAAGTTTAATATCTATGGAGAGATAAGTCATCTGCATGTACATAACTTTCTAAGATTGATTTTTTAAAAATATTTTTTTAGTTGTTCGTGGACCTTTATTTTATTTTTATGTGGTGCTGATAATCGAACCTCACACATGCTAGACAAGCACTCTACCACTAAGATACAACCCCAGCCSTGATTTTTTTWAATTATTATTAAATTTATGCATGTCCTACTTTCAAAGAGCTACATGGTCTTAATAAGCCTTTAAAAGAACTGAAATTCAGAAAAGTGGCAGGATATAAGGTCAACATCCACAAAAAAATCACATTCCTGTACTAAATGATGAATCTACTAAAAAAGAATTAGGAAAACTGTCTCATTGAAAATAGCTTCAAAAATAAATAAAATAATTGGGAATCAATCTAACAAAAGAGGTAAAGGACCTATACAATGAAAATTATAGAACACTGAAGAAAGAAATTGAAGAAGATCTCAAAAGATGGAAAGATATCCCATGTTTTTGGATAGGCAGAATTAATACTGTCAAAATGGCCATACTATCAAAGGCACTATACAGATTCAATGCATTTCCCATCAGAATTACAATGATGTTCTTCACAGAACTAGAAAAGCAGTTATGGAATTCATTTGCATAAATAAAAGATTCAGAATAGCCAAAGCAATTGTTTAGAAAAGGAGGCATTGTTTAGAAGCAGGAGACATCAAAATACCAGAATTAAATTATATACTACAGAGCAACAGTAACAAAAATAGCATACTATTGGCATCAAAACAGATATGAAATCCAATGGAACAGAATAGAAAACACAGAGACAAACCCACATGAATACAGTTATCTCATACTAGACYAAATATACATTGGAAAAAAAGTAACCTTTTTAACAAATGGTGCAGGGAAAACTGGAAATTCATATGCAGTAGAATGAAATTTAACCCCCTTCTCTCATCTTCCACAAAACTCAAAGTAGATCAAAGACCTAGGAATTAGACCAGAAACCCTGCACCTGCTATAAGAAAATTTAGGCCCAATATTCCAACACATCAGCTCAGGAACTGACTTCCTTAAAAGATTCCTAAGGCTCAAGAAGTAAAATCAAACATCAATAAGTGGGACAAAATCAAATTAAAAAGCTTCTTTACAGCAAAGGAAACAATAAAGAGTGTGAAGAGAGAAACAACAGAATGGGAGAAAAATCTCTGCCACTTGCTCCTGAGATAGGGTATTAATATCCAAGATAAATAAAGAACTCAAAAATTTAACACCTGAAATAATAATAATAATAATAATAATAATAATCCAATCAATAAATGGGCAAAAGAACTAAACACTTCTCAAAAGAAGAAATACAAATGGTTAACAAATAAATGAAAAAATATTCAACATCTCTTAGCAATTAGAGAAATGCAAATTACTCACTACACTGAGCTTTCATCTCGTTCCAGTCAAAATGGCAATTATCAAGAATACAATAAGAATAAATGTTGGCAAGGATATAGAGGAAAAGGTACACTCATAAATTATTGGTGGGACTGGAAATTAGTGCAACTGTTCTGGAAAGYAATATGGACATTCCTCAAAAAACTAGGAATGGAACCACAATATGACCCAGCCATCCCACTTCTCAGTAAATACCCAAAGGATTTAAAATCAGCATACTACAAAGACACAGCCACAGCAATGTTTATATAGAAGCTCAATTCACAACAGCCACGCTAAAGAGCCAACCTAGGTGCCCTTCAACAAATGAATGGATAAAGAAAATATGGCATACATACACAACAGAGTATTACTTAGTCATAAAGAAGAATGACTTTATGACATTTGCTGGTAAATAGATGGATCTGGAGACTATCATGCTAAGTGAAATAAGCCAATCACAAAAAACAAAGGTCAAATGTTTTCTCTGATATGCGGAAACTAACCCACAATAAGCAGGAGTCGGGGGAAGAATAGAAGTTCAGTGGGGTAGACTAAGGGAAATGAAGGGAAGGGAGGGGAAATGGGAAAAGGAAAGATTGTAAAATGAATACAACATAACCTTCCTATGTACATATATGAATATAACCACAGTGAATCTCACCATCGTGTACATCCATAACATTTTTTTTTTAAACTACAAATAAATAGCAGAAAGATCAGTAGAGTTGTGAGAAGGGAATGAGGGAAGGAGAACTAGGAATTAAATCAGAACAAATTATATTCCATGCTTTTATAATTATGACAAAATGAATTCTATTGTCATGTATAACTAAAAAGACCCAATAAGAAAGATAATACAGTAATCTTAAAAAAAAAAAAAAAAAAAGAACTAAAAGGCAAAGGCAGAAGCCAGGTGTAGTGGTGCATGATTGTAATCCCAGGGACTTGGGAAGATAAGGCAGAGGATTTCAAGTACAAGGCCAGTCTCAGCAACTGAGTAAGACCCTCAGTAACTTAGTGAGATCCTTTCAAAAAATAAAAAAGACTGAGGGTGTAACTGAGGTGAAGCACCTGTGGGTTCCATCCACCATACCAAAAAAGGAGAGAAAGAAATGAAAGTTCTTTTATACCTCCACAGATGTAACATCTAACTAGAAATATATATATTTTCATAAAATACTCATTTATTTGGTATTTTTATTTGTTCTTATTAGTTATACATGATAGAATCTATCTTGACATATTATACATATTTAGAGTATAACTTCTCATTCTTCTGGTTGTACATGATACAGAATTAATCATACATGCACATAGGATAGTAATGTTCGATTTATTCTACTATTTTTCCTATTCCCATTCACCCTCCCTTCCCTTCATAACCCTTTGTCTAATCCAAAGTACTTCTATTCTTCCCTACCCACCCCCATTATTGTGAGTCAGCATCCGAATATGAGAGAAAACATTCAGCCTTTGTTTTGGGGAGACTTTGTTTTGGCTTATTTTACTTAGGATGATATTCTTCAGTCCCATCCATTTACCAGCAAATGCCATAATTTTATTCTTCTTTATGGCCGAGTAATATTCCATTGTGTATATGTACCACACTTTCTTTATCTATTTATCTGTAGAAAGGTACCTARGTTGGGTCTATAATTTAGCTATTGTTTTTTAATTTTTWAAAAATATTAGTTTTTAAATTGCCAAATTTATACCAAATGTATACTCCTTACAAACCTTCAAAAGTAGTACAGAATTTTGACCTATTTATAAGAATCCAGGAATCTATAAATAAAAATGTCAAAAAAAACCCCTACCTTAATTAAACTGGATATTTCCAATCTATTACTTTTCTAATTCCTAACTATATTTAATAAAAGAAAGGGGTGCCATATGCATAAGTACTATGTATTCCACTATGTCTCACAGGAGGATTACAAGTGATGAATAGGGACAGCCAACAGAGACATTTTCAAAGTAGACTTATGATATATACTTTGCCCTTTTTAAACACTAAGATTGGAGGGAAGAAGAGTAGATGACAGTCTTATCTATACTGACCTTTAAGTCTTACAATAATTACAATGACAAGTAAAATGTATGAGTTCTATAACTGCTAAAAAAAGAAAAAGAAAAAGAAAAAGAAGATATAGACTATACTATACGCTAGTCTGTTTCACCCAATACTATGATTAATAATCATCAGAGAGAGAATTCAAGAATTTACCTTTGTACTGGCCACACCAATCTCAGGGCCGGCATTAATATGAACACCACAATCTGTCTCCCTTGATATAGAACTGCCAACTGTGTTTGTGATTCCCACAGTTAAAGCTCCTCTCTCCTTACAATACCGAAGACACATCAGGGTATCTGCTGTCTCACCTGTATAAAAGAGTACAGCAAAAGTAAAACATGGAATAGTTTCAGCATATGTTGTTTCTTAGATGTAAAAACAAATGGATCACATTTTTAATAATATCACACATTTAAAATGAAACAGAAAATATGCCTTTAATAAACTTAAAAATTTTTAATAATAGTTTTTTTAGGATCCCTTTGCCTCCTGTCTGAAAATTCAACTCTTTGCAAGTAAAAGATATTCATTTTTACTAATTCATAAAGAACATAAATACAGAAGTAAATCTGTATGTCATGCAAAACCAATTTACTTTTAAATACCATTGTTTGCCAAGATATGCTAGAATTATTAGAAAAAATGACTTTCCTTCAAGTTTTTAAAATGAACTTACCTGATTGACTAATGAAAAAGCAAACATCATCTCGAAAGACTGGTGTGTTTCTATCTAGGAAATCACTGGCTAGTTCCACCATCACTGGCAATTCAGTCAGCTCCTCAAGAACCTGACGTGTCTGCAGAGAAAAGGTGATGTAATCATACAACTCGCCTTCAGATACTTTTTTCCACTGGGTTTCTTTGGACTTAACATATAGTTTTCACTTTTTATGATTATAAAAATAATAAATACATACAGTTAGAAAATACAATACAGATTAAAACATAAAAAATAAGATCCCACTACCCAAGAAATAAACACTGTTAACATTTCAGAACAAGTCTCTTTAGACGACTACCAATGCAAATACACCCACACGTAAAACATTTTGAGAAGCAGAAAAAGCACTGTTGTGAGTCAGCTTGTATATTATCTCTAAACTTCCCAATTCCTAATCTTTAAAACGAAAATTCATATAATACCATTCTCATTGAGGGATTTCAAATGAGACAACAGATGTACAAGTATTCAGTGAAAACCTGAACACTTTAAACATGCAATGTATGTATACATAGTATCATTTTCCAAAAAAGTCAGCACATTTTAGAAATCCTATTTTAAAAAGCTCACATTTTCAAATTTTGGAGTATTGAAGAAGGATGTTAGAGTGTGGTTTGTGTCTCTGTTCAAAGGACACCTTATTTCCTTTCACTCAATTTCCATTCTAATTAATTTTTTTTAATTTTCTCCAAACATCAGAAAATTAATAGAAAATATAAATGTTCAGACAGAAAAACTTAAGGCTCTATGGATGTGAATAGGYATAGTGATTCTTTTAACACTAACTCTAGAGACGCCCTGACCTGACAGCCCTCCACCAGCCTCACCAAGCAAGCCCATCTTTCACCTCATCTCTACATTCCTCCTCCATAGTAATAAAGACTGTAAATATGTCCTTATTCCACAGCCCTTCAACTTTTGCTTGTCCACAAATTGAAACAGAACTGAATTGTTCCATTTGGATTCCCAATAACTTGGGTTTGGCATTTTTTTGAARTATTTTAACACCATGAACAGAGAGTCTTCAAAACTAAAATGCTCTTGCAGGTATGGTGATAAAAGCCTATAATCCCAGTGATTCAGAGGCTGAAGCAGGAGGATCACAACTTCAAAGCCAGCCTCAGCAACTCAGTGAGTCTCTAAGCAACTTACTGAGACGTAGTGAGACTCTGCCTTAAAATAAAAAATAAAAAAGGGCTGGGGACATAGCTCAATAGTTAAGCACACTGGATTCAATCCAAAAAAAAAAAAGAATGCTCCTTTTGTCATTATTTTCCACTGATGTATTTCCCTTATTAATTATATATATGTTATTGACATTAAAATGCTAGAGTTTTTCAAGATGGCAGAATAAAGGAGGTCGTGTTCCTGGCCACTTTGTGRTGTGAAACCAAGAAAGTAGACAGGGAGCTTCTCCACAAGGTGGGTGAACCAAAGGGGGTGCGGGGTGCTTTACCGGAATTTAAAATTGGACATTCAAAGCAGAATGGGGATACAGGAGGTTGGATATAATAAGGAAAAAATCCTCATGGACACAGCTGCTGCCATAGCTGGGTCAGAAGCACCAGTCAAAGTGGCTCCTTTGTGAGGACAGTATAGGGATGAGGGAATGAAAGCAACCCGCATTTTTGGGAGGTCCAAGGTGCATTTTGGGAAGGTCCAAGGCGTACCTGGGTATGAAGCCTTTAGAGATTAAGGACATTGCCCAACAAACCTAAAAGATGCGCCGCATCATATCTGTGTGTGGGGAAAGAAGCCGCCATCTCTCCAAGCTATGTGCAGAGAACAAAGGAAGGCACCATTTTCCAGCTGTGCGCCGCCCCCCGCCCCCCACCCCAGCATCTGAGGAAGCCAATTCCTGGCAAATCCAAGTTTGGCCCAAAATACGGGTCCAGTAAACATACATTGAGCAACATAAAGAATGCTTAAGTGACCAGGAGAAAATCAAACGTACAGAGAGGTTTACATAGACTACTGGTCTCAGAAACCCCCTCCAACTAGACTGCTTGCAGGACTGGCTGGGAGAGACAAATCCCAGAACTCTGAAGGGCAGGAGTGAATCTGGCTGGGAACTCAGAAGGGCAGGACCAGGAGTGAGTTATTCCTAGACTGAAGGCCCAGATCAGTAAACATGATATCCACATGTGACAAAGGGGACTAAGAATGGGGTCTCCCATCACATGCGTGGAACCCAGGGGAGAGCCCTGGGGTACATTCTTCCAGCATGGACCAGCAATTACTGGACACTGGTGGTGTACTGATCTAAATCTCCAGACCAACTGGCATTCAGTGAAAAGCCTGGAGTCCACCCCTAAACCTAAACCCTGTCTCCAGAAATTCCTCCTACAGGATTACCTTTCTCACACCAGCAAGCCAGAGGGTGGAGCATCATGATCCAGATGACACCCACCTAAAACTGCTGAGAAAAGAAACTGAGAATATACTGAACTATAATAGAAATAATTCTTTAACTTCTCATCAAGATGATTTTTCCTTTTATAAAATTTTTTTATTCTTTTACTCATTTAATTGTGACCTTGATGGTACATGGATATTTATACATTTTCATATTTGTTTTCTTCTCTCATGTCTAGCATTTTTGAAGCCAATTATTTTTTATAGATTAGTTTTTGTGAATTAGAATATTGGATTAGTATTTTTTAGTTTTGTGTATTTTATTTTTATTTTTGTTTTAAATTTTTACTTTATATATATATGTGTGTGTGTATGTTTTTCTCCCATGGTTTCCCTTCATTCTCTTTTCTTCTGCTAACAGCAAATCTCTATTTTCCCCCTTTCACTCTTCCTTTGATCTTTTACTTCTGTCTTATCTCCTCCTCCCTCATAATCATCACATCTTATATCACTTCTGTTCTCTCCCTGTCCACCATTTGAAATTGTAAATCCTTTTGCAAATTTGCTATTTTTACCATAGGCAATAACTGATCATATTATCATAAGTAACACTGTAGATGTCGTAGTATGAATTATACGGTTTAATGCTATATATCGCTTACAATGGTTGTTGTTATTATTTATCTCCCCTAAACAGTTAAGGTACTGGAAAACTTCAGGGACACTATAAGTCCACAGAGTAGAAATTCTACTGCCTTAGATTCATACTGTTAGATGGATAGACACACAAACAACATGAAAAAGCAAGGAAACAAACTGTCACAAATAATAGAAACCACTGRCATCACAGTAAAAGAAATGTCAGACAAGGAGTTTAGAATGTACATAGTTAAACTGATCTGCAAAGTAAAGGACAGCATAAAGAATGAAATCAGAGAGAATATATAGGAAGGGAAAAATCATGATAAAGAGGCAGAGATGCAACAGTGCTGCATCTCTGAACATGCTGCCCAACCACACAGCCCACCCTCACTACCCTGGGGATCTCAGAAAGTAGTCGCCTCCATCTTGGGACACCTTTGCCACAATCTTGAGTTACCCCTGCTACTACCATCGCCATCTTTAGTTGGGGTAACTCCCATGGTGGGACACCAGCTGAGGCCTAAAAGCAATATCAAGGTCCCTATAGTCTCCTAACGCCCCCCTCTCCCCAGCCACCAACCCGGCACCACAATGCTTGCAGCTACATGGCCAGCCCATAGCTCTCAAAGCCTGGTCCTGATCTGCCCGATACAGAACAGCTCTCCACGACAGGGGTACAGGCCCCAGTCCTCTGCCCACAGGACCACCGGAGAGAGAGATTCCTGATTGGGAAGTAGAAAGGGAGAGGGCGAGAGAGATACAGTTTAGAGTATAAATTAAGAGACCAAGAATTGTGGGGTCTATAGGTGATATAAAGGGCTAAGACCAGGCACCCACATCTCATAAGTGGGCCCCAAAGAAGATCCTTGGAGCACAGTCTTTGAACAGGGACCAGCAAGTGCTATATCCTACCTCCAGGAGTTCCGCCTCCAAGACCAATCCTCCCACCCTAATAACCTTTACTATACTAAGAATGGAGATACTAGCAAACACCAGACAACCAACTCCAACTATCAAATGAGAAGGCAAGCAGGAAAGATACTGAACTCAGAATTGTACAATTTTCCTTCTAGGTGTTTTTTTTCCCCCCTCTTTTCCCACCCTCACATCCCCAACATTTGTGAAATCAAGTATTTTTCATGTAGTAGGCTACTGAGGATTGGGTTGTCTGAATAGTATATTACAACTTTGTTGTATACTCTTTTATCTTTTGTTTTTCATTTTCTTATTAATTTTGTTTTGTTTTGTTTTTTGTATTCCCTCTATTTTCTACCCATTTATCTGTCTCCCCAGAGTCTCCTTCTCTCTTTTCTCCGCTACCAGCCAACTTCTATCCATTCCTCTTTCACACTTCCTAAGATCTAATATTTCTATATCCTCATTTCCTACCTCTTTAACATCTATCTCATCCTACACTCCCTCCCTGGATTCTCTCTTTGTCCATTATTAGAAACTATGGACCCTTTTGCAAATCTATTGTTTATATTATAGATAATAATGAAATACACCATTTTTTGCTTATTGCAACAAAACTGTATAAACATCTTAATAGGAGCTATTTATTTAAGGCTGCATATTGTTTGCACTAGGATCTGTTAATATTGATATCCCCTAAAAAGAGAGATACTGGAAATCTGTAGGGACACTATAAGTCTAAGTGTAGAAACTGTAATATCTTGGAYCTGCACTGCTAGAGGGGAAGACACACGAACAACATGAAAAAATAAGGGAAGAAAGTGCCCCAAACAAACCAAGATACTACATTATTAGAATCCATTGACAGCACAGAGAAGTAGTTCAGGATATACATAATTAAAATGTTCCACAAACTTAAGGATGATTTAAGAGAGCAAACACATGCAACAAAAGATTGCTTCGATAAAGAGCTACGTGAGCAAATACAAGAAGCAAAAGACTACTTCAATAAAGAGAGATTCTGAAAACAAACAGAAATCCTTGAAATGATGGAACAATAAACCAAATTAAAAACTCAATAGAAAATATCACCAACAGACTAGATCACTTGGAAGACAGAACCTTAAACAATGAAGACAAAATACATAATCTTGAAAATAAAGT